ATAGAATAGAATAGAATAGAATAGAATAGAATAGAATAGAATAGAATTCTTTATTGGCCAAGTGTGATTGGACACACAAGGAATTTGTTTTTGGTGCATATGCTCTCAGTGTACTTACAAATAAGATTGGTTTGGCATGATCTGTTTTTAACAAACCCATGTTGGCTTCTGGTTATACATTTATTTGTTTTTAGATGTTTGCAGATCTGTTTTATGACATCCACATTTGCCGATCCCAGGTCCTTGTGGAGGACTCCATGGATGGATAGAAATGCCAAATCCAGTCAAAACATCTGGTTGATTATGCAACCGACCCTTATTAAATCAGCTATCTAAGTCACGAAACAGACTCTTATTTTTGCTGGGCTGTGAATCTAGAGGCCAAGCAAGATGTCATATTGAAGACGCAGGTTTGAAATGCAAAATATTTGTTTATTTAGGAAGGGTGCAGCCCAGCACTACCGAGGAATTGATTTTGAGGCAGACTTTAAAAAAAATAAAATACACCCAGATGTTTGTGGTTACAGTTTAAGAGGCCTGCCGGTTTTCATTTGCAGGAAGAAGCATGTTATTCTTGCGAACAGAACAATGTTGATATTGTGGGAGCATAGAGCTGTTGGAGGGGATCTAAAAGGTCATCCATTCAACCCTCTATCAGTTGGAACACTGTTTTTCCTTACGGGAGGGTGAAGAACATAGAAAATACAGAGATTGTGCTGATTTGATAGGCTCTGTCACTATTTCTCCACCTTTGTGACTTTAAGAGGTGTGGACCAGGGGTGGGCTGCTGGGGGTTCACAGGGGTTCCCTAGCTCTGTGCAGTTCGGAGAAGCCCCCCCAAATCCCACTCCTGGCTGGCCCCATCCACCCTCCCCTCCCCTCCCAAGAGTCCCCACACAGCCTGTTTTGGATGCAGGTAACTGCAGGGCATGTGTGGAGGCTCGGGGAGGGCAAAAAACGGGCACCCTGGAAGTTTGGGGAAGGCTGGAAATGGGCCCGTTTCTGGCTTCCAGAGAGCCTTCGGAGCCCAGGGGACGCCATTTTCTGCCTCTCGGAGGCTCGACGAAAGCCTCCGGAGCCCAGGGAGGAAAAAAAACACCCACTCCTCCGCCGTGGTGCAGGAGGCCGACTAGGCCATGCCCACCATGACCACCCCCACCCAGCAACTGGGCAGACAACCCGTTACTAAAATTTTTTGAAGGCCACCCCTGGTGTAGGCCTCAATTTCCAGAATTCTGGGAGTTGACGTCCACACCTCTTAAAATCCCCAAGATTGAGAAACACTTGACGGGGACTAATTTGATTGGGTTGGGAAAGACAGTCCACCCAAATTTTTATTTTATTTTATTTTTATTTGGTTTGTCAATTGCTGACAAGATAATAGGTATAAGTAAAAACATAGTTCTGAATACATGGCTACATATAAGTAGGATAAAAGAAACAGTAGGACAGGGACGGTAGGCATGATTGGTGCGCCTATGCACACCCCCTACAGGCCTCTTAGGAAAGGGGGTGAGGTCAATAGTAGACAGTCTAAGGTTAAAGTTTTTGGGGTTTGGGGAAGAAACCACAGAGTCAGGTAGAGTATTCCAGACATTGACCACTCTGTTGCTGAAGTCGTATTTCCCGCAATCAAGTTTGGTGCGGTTAACCTTGAGTTTGTATCTATTGTGTGCTCTTGTGTTGTTATGGTTGAAGCTGAAGTATTTATTGACAGGTAGGACATTGCAATGTATGATTTTATATACTATACTTAGATTGAAGCGAAGGTAGCGTAGTTCTAGATTTTTTAGGTGTAGAGTTTCAAGTCTGGTGGCATAAGGTATTCTGCAACGAGTAAATTAGCTAACCACACTTTACCTAGTGTGTCTAGTAAGCCAGGATCTGTTAGTTTCCAGTTCAGTGTGCTGTGTGAATCTTCCAGATTACATGAATGGAATAAACCAGGATTAAATTCAAAACCAGCTTTTTTTCAAAACCAGTATTTTGCAGAAAGGACTAAGTAGTCAACTTACACTGACAGTGGGGACCAGAATTTCTGTTTTTAAGCAAAGCAATTGTTAAGTGAGTCATGCTTATTATTTTTCCCAAGGTTGTTAATCACTGCAGTTGTTAAGCAAACCGCTTGGTCTTTAAGCAAATGTAGCTTCTCGCAGTGTGGCTTGCTTAGCAACAGAAATTTTAGGCTCAGTTATGGTTGTAAGTTGCACCACTTTGCAAACAAAAAAACAGCTAACAGCAAGGAGTTGGGTTGGGAAGAGCCAATAGCTGGTCCAATAATTGATAAGGGAAGGCAGTATTGTGTGCAGATCAAAAGGCCAGCTTTATAAACTTGTCTAATGCCCCTAGGACCGAAGATTGCTCTCCTCTCAAGACTTTCTGTATTGCAAAATTCTTTTTAGCAGCTGCAAAGCAGAGGCAAAAAAAAAAAAATGCATTGAAACGCTGCAATAAGCTTCTCTCTCTCTTCATCAGTATTCATTCATCGTCGCCTCGATCCAAGGAAGGTAGAAGGCCACGCGGGTGTATATAGAAGGCGGGATCTGGAAGCCATAGGAGACGATGCCGTGGGCCACCCCATTGCAGAGCAAGGCACTCCCAGAATCCCCCTGGGGACAGGTGAAAAAGGGGTACAGATTAACAGAGTTGGAAGGGACCGTGTAGGTCATCTAGTCCAACCCCCCACCCCCACAAGCAATGAATATTGTCAAAGTGAGACAAAGCAAATTCATTTTTTTAATATAGGGAGACACTTTCTATCTCATTGTTTCCTCTTTCAAAAGTAGATGGTCAGATACATGTGCGTGGGGGAGATTTGAGGGGTGGGCTTTTGAAACGAAAGGCGGGAGGATACTCCACCCTGCTTTTTCCATCCTTGGTCCTAAACCAGTGTTTCCCAATCTTGGCACCTTAAAGTTATATGGACTTCAATTCCCAGAATTCACCAGCCATCATGCTGGGATTTGAAGGCAGGGGTGGGATCTGACAGTTCGGTCATTTACGAGGTTCAATGATTTACGATGTGCTTCCCTGCATGCTGCTGCCGGCGCGCGCCTGTAAATCGTCATCAGCATGCTGCGTGCAGAGAAGCAGCCTTTTAAAACACCCTTTTTTCCTGCTTTTTTAAACTGCAGCTGTGCCTTGCACGGCAGCTGAAGTTGAAAAAAATCAGGAAATAAAGGTCAGATAAGAGCCCGGGTGGCGGGTGGGCAAAAATATCAGCAGACATAGAACCGGTTCTATGTCTGCTGCTCTTCAGAGCTACTGGTTCTACAGAGGTGGACAGAACCGGTAGAAACCCACCCCTCTTTGAAGTGCCACAAATGCTGGCCAGGGAATTCTGGGAGTTTGAAGTCCTCTCATCTTAAAGTTGCCAAGTTTGAAAACTACCGATCTAGCCTCTTGGCTTTTGTTAAGATATTTAAATTTTAGTACTGGAGCCGTGAGCTTGTGTAATGAATCAGGACACACTGTGATAGCTGAGTGGTTGAAAAGAGCTGGCTCCTGCATGAGGCAATCTAAGCTGTGATTGGTTGCTGTGGATGTGGAGGGGAGTTTCCCTTTTTCCCCGCCCTTTTCTTCTGTGTGCGTTCTGTGATTTACCTCATGATGCTCTTGCTGTGTTCATTTACCTCATGACACTCTAGTTTGCCTGACTATCTTGTTTGATATGGTATATAGATGTAAAATATATTTATATCAAACTACAAGTTCATGTCAGCATGTTTGACTCCATTTGGACACCAGCTGTGCCATTCCCTGACAGCTTTCATTGCCTTTAAAAATGTGTCGCAAACATATCTTAAATGTCCATGATCACTGAAACAAAGAAGGAAAATACCCTTTTATTGTAGGAAAAAGGGGAAAAAAACACCCAAAGATGATGTCACTCACATTGCTAACATCGCAGAGCGTGGCCCGACTGCCAGCGCACATCATCCCGTCAGTAAGTTCTGGATCAAACAGGAGACATTTTCTACGACCGAGGGCCGTCACATTGGTCTCAAAGAGCTTCGGTGTGGGAAAATACGTGGCATCTCTCCGGCCCCATCCCGCCACAGAACATGGGGTGTTTTTAGGAAGGTCGTCCATGGACTTTGGGATAGGGATCATTTGAACGTATTCATTCAGTTGAGCTTCACGGTCCAGCTGCCATCGAGAAGAAAAAAAGCAAGAAAATATTCCGGTTGAATTTAATCAAGTGTCTCCTAGCGAAATTATAGGTAGTCCTCGACTTACAACTTTAATTGAACCCCTGGTCATCAAGCAGGTCACCACACAACCATCCAATTTTATGACATTAGGAAAATTTGTGATCATTAAGCAATCGCCACCATCATTAAGTGAACGCATTGTCTGTAATGGATGTTTTTGGCAGGAAACCAGAAGTAGAAAATGTCATTAAGGGCAGTCAGGTGACCCAAGGATGCTGCCAACAGTCATAAGTGCCAGCCAGTTGCCAAGCAATACAATGGTGGGATTCAAATTTTTTTACTACTGGTTCTGTGGGCGTGGCAGGGGAAAGATACTGTAAAATCTCCAGTCAGAGGTGGTATTGGCTGGTTCTCCGAACTACTCAAAATTTCCGCTACCGGTTCTTCAGAACTGGTCAGAACCTGCTGAATACCACCTCTGAAGCAATAGCAATAGCAGACTTATATACCACTTTACAGTGCTATACAACCCTCTCTAAGCGGTTTTACAGAGGCGTCCTATTGCCCTCAACAACCTGGGTCCTCATTTTACCCACCTTGGAAGGATGGAAGGCTGAATCAACCTTGAGTCTGGTGGGATTTGAACTGCCAAATTGCAGGCAGCTGATAGTCAGCAGAAGTGGCCTGCAGTACTGCACTCTAACCACTGCGCCGTCGAGGCTCAAGCGCCAAAAATGCGATCGAGTGACCACAGGATGGGAGCAGGGGGGGGGGGCATCATAAGTTGGAATCTAGGGCTTAAGTACTTTTTTGAACTCCATCTTAACTTTGAACGGTTGCTAAGCAAATTGAAGACGACCTCTATTGTATATCCTTACAGCCGTGCTAATTTTTGGTTCCAAAATACACCCCCAGATTTTGATTTGTCTTATCCACAGATGGGTTTATCCACCATGACATACAGTGTAATTCTTAGACGTACCGTTGGACTTGCAGAGAAGCTTAAACGGGATAAACTGACCCTTGAAATGTTTGTGTCTTTTTCAATACATTCTGAAAGACTTATAAATTTAGTGACTGCTCAAAGTTACGACGACACTGAAAAAAGGGACTTACGACTGGTCCTTACACTTACGACCACTGCAGCATTGCTACATCAAGTGATCAAAATTTGGGCAAATCACGGCAACCAACACGACGCTTCACTTTATAAATACGTCACTTAACATTGAATTTTCTGGTCCCAGTTGTGGTTGTAAGTCAAAAACTATATATATTTGCAAATCTGAGAAATATGTTTTTAATCATCTGAGTGACTTTGTTCAAAGTATAATTTGTATATGTTTGGAGGCATGGATTTCAAGGGTTGCCAAGTATGGAAAATTGCACATTTCAGCTCTTTCGTTTCATCTACTGATTCAAATACAACTCGACGTACAATCACCATGGGGCCCAACATTTTGGTTGCTAAGCAAGACAGTTGTTAAATGAGTTTTCCTCCATTTTATGACCTTTCTTGCCACAGTTGTTGAGTGAATCACTGAGGTTCTTAAGTTAGTAACACGATTATTAAGCGAACCTGGCTTCCTCGCCGACTTTGCTTGTAAGAATGTCACAAGAGGTGATCACATGACCCTGAGACACTGCGACCATCATAAATATGAACCAATTGCCAAGCATCTGAATTTTGATCATGCGACCGTGGGAATGCTGCAAAGGCGGTAAGGCTGTAATTGAAAAATGGTCATACATCACTTTTTAAGCACGACTTTAACTTTGAAAGGCCACTAAACAAATGATCGTAAGTCGAGGACTACCTGTAGGCAAAACGAATGGTGCTCGCATTTGATATTGGAACGACCAAGGGTTGTTTTTCTTCATACCTTCAGCAGCAAGATGTCGTTGAAAGGGATACCCGCTACTACGGAATAACCGGGATGTTCGTGATAGCTTATGACTCCAAACACTTGCCAGGTCTCTTCAACAGCGTTCAGATCGTGCGCCCCCAAAATGACGGAAATATCTCTAGAAAGGAAACAAAAAAGAAAGCCACCCCTGATTCAGAACCAAAATCACCCCCAAATCGCCCCAATTATGGTGTGCCACATTTCAGCACATGGGGCGTCACTCTGAGATCTCCCCCACCTCTGTGAAGATCAAAGCCATTTCTCTCGGAGCCCTCCTTGCTATGGACACCACTCCATAGTATCACTCAGATATTCAAGCCCTGGACCAGTGGTGCTATTCTACCAGTTCGGCCCAGTTCTGCTGAGCCGGTAGTGTTCTGTCTTTAACTTGCTGGCTGAATATAAAGACAGTTCGATAAACTCTACAAAGGCTTCCATACAAAATTTCTTTATTGGATTGTAATAGGCATCCTCAAGGTATAACTCACCGTTATGTTGAGATTCATCTAATGTCCAATCTTTGTCTTCATAGTGTGAAAATATAGTTATCTGCATCCCATAACGATGGAGCAAAGGGAAAGACACCAGCACGATGCTGGGGTCCAAGCAAGAATAAAGGAAACCCCCCCAAACCCAACCAAGGGTCAATTCAGTGACCAATCAGGATTACAGATGTGACCACATGACACGAACTACATTTCCCATGAGGCATTAGCTACATTTCCCAAGAGGCATTAGCTACATTTACTATGAGGCATTCCCTTAAGGGGACAGCTCCCAATTCCCAATCAACTACATACTGTCTGAACAGCACAGGTAGCGGCGATGAGCAGTGGAGACCAAACCTGTTCTCTCCGCCGCTCTGCTGTTGGGCCCAACTGGCCGCCCGAGCTCCCATACTCACCTTTGTCCTCTGAATCTGAAGCGCAGCTGCTTTGCGCGGCACAAAATAGCACTGCGCGGCAGCTGCTGAAGTGACCGGGAGAATGCAGGCTGGCAGGAGGTGAGTTAGAACGCCTTTGTGCCTGCGCAAAGTGCGCATTTGGTGCTCATGCGCATGCAAAGTGTGTGCACGTGTGCAAAGCACACTCACCAAGCCACACCCACCGAACCCAGTGGTAAAACTTTTCGAATCCCACCACTGCCCTGGACATCTCATGGCTAGACTACTGCCATGCGCTCTACCTGGGGCTACCCTTGAAGAGTATTCAGAAGTTACAGCTGGTGCAGAATTCGGCTGCGCGGACAGTTCTTGGGGCCCCAAAGTGTGGCCTGTTGCATGAGCTGCACCGGTTGGCAATCTGCTTCCGGGTCCAACTCAAGGGGTCAGGTATCACCTTTAAAGACCTGCATGGCATTGGTCCAGGTTACATGAGGAGCTGTCACACCCCTAAGGGATTGGCCTGCCCCACTTGCTTTGTTGTCAACCCCCTTGGCCAAGGACTTCCCGCTGGCTAGTGGGATCCAGGAGAAGGGCTTTTTATGCCATGGTTCCCGCCCTCCGGAACATCATACCTTCCCCAAGGTGAGATCTGCTCTCCCCCCCCCCTGCACCATAAGCCTTCCACAAGAGCCCTGAAACCTGGCTCTGCCAATTGGCCAGGAATCCTGATAGCCATGTTGGAGGGGGTGAGTGGACTAGGAACAAGATTCCACCACCCCGGTAGGACTCCGATTTTAACTTATTCGGTTAAAATGTTTTGTACTTCTGTGTTTTTTTTATGATGTTTGGAAGCCATCCAAAGGGTCTGGCAGTCAAATAGATCAGGGGTCACCAACCTTTCAGCTCTCAGGGACCACTAAAATTCATCATTTTAAATCTTGCGGACCACTAATACGATCTGCCTAATGACCGGCTGGGTGGGCGTGGCTAGTTTGTCATGTGACTGGGTGGGTGTGGCCAGCTTGATGTTACTCACATCGAGGGGGCATCTCACCGGCCTCTACTCGCCCCTCCCCTCCCAGCCGCTCCTCCCCTGCCCGCCCAGGCTCCTTAGGGCCCCAAACACGAAGCGGTTGTTGGAGCTAAACAGCCGCCAGGAGAAAGAGTTGGCAAAACAGCCGGTTCCGTTCAAACTGGATCTGACCGAGAAGGAGGCTCAGCAGAAGCACCTCACTAAGGACTAGGAGCATAGGCTTTCCAAGCAGAAGGAAAACCTGCAGGAGTTCAAGGCCGGGTACCAGAACCCGGACACTCGTGGGCTGAGATGGTCAACCAGTTCCAGACCATGACGGAGTCCCACTGGAAACAAGGCCCTCCGGCTCTTCGCCCACCAGTGGCCCTTCTCTCCAGCCTTCTCCCAAAGCCCCACACAGGGAGGCTGAAGCAGACCCCAAGTCGGAATTTCTGGCCCCCTGACCTACAGAAAAAGTCCCCGAAAGGACGAGACTCATATCCGGCTCAGGGGCGCTAGCTTGAGGACCCCTGATTTAGTGCAATGTAAAAAAAATGTGAATGATTTTTCTGCGGGCCACCAAAATTTTCTCATGGACCACCAGTTGGTGACCGCTGAAATAGATAGCACATCCATTCAATGCATCCATCCATCCAGTTAGGGAAACTGTTCATCTCAAATGCAAACTCACCCGTTGCAGTGGCCTGCTGACAACACCCACCGGGGGGCAATGAGGAACCCCCCACATCCAAAATGTCCATTGATTTTCAAAGCTGCCATGTAAGGTCTGGAATGGGGCTTCACTTCACGGCCTCCAACGATCCGGCTGCGAAGGGGTCCTGGAAAGAGGCGAAGAAGGATCTACCTCAATAAGACTTCAGGAATGAGTTTCATATGTAGATATCTCCACTGAAAAATTATTCCTCTTGTTGGATCTTCATTTTTTTCTGCAGAGCAGAAGAACCCCGGTGCTCTTCCTAATATTTGGGCAATGTGGAGACAACTGAGATGCAGATACTGAGGGGAGATATGATAGCAGTCTTCCAATATTTGAGGGGCTGCCCCAGAGAGGAGGGCGTCAAACTATTTTCTAAAGCACCTGAAGGCCAGACAAGGAATAATGGATAGAAACTGAACAAGGAGAGATTCAATCTGGAAATAAGGAGAAACTTTCTGACAGTGAGAACAATCAATCCATGGAACAGAAGTTGCCTTCAGAAGTTTTGGGATCTTCAGCACTTGAAACTTTCAAGAAGAGACTGGACTGCCATTTGGTGTAGGTTCTTCTGCTTGGGCAGAGGGTTGGACTAGATGACCTACAAGGTCCCTTCCAACTCTGTTAATCTGTATCTCAGGGTCTGCCACAAAGAAGAGGGGGTCAACCCATTCTCCAAAGGGCCCAAATGCAGGATAAGGAGCAACAGATGGAAACTCATCAAGGAGATAAGCAACCTAAAACTCGGAAGAAATTTCCTGACAGTGTGAACAAAATCAGTTGAACGGTTTTCCTCCAGACATTGTGGGTGCTTCAATACTGGAGGTTTTTAAGAAGAGATTGGACAGCCATTTGTCAGGAATTGTAATAGGGTCTCCACTTGAGCGGGGGGTTGGACTAGAAGACCTCCAAGGTCTCTTCCAACTCTGTTATTCTGCTAATGTCTTTCTTCCCTACCGTTAGAGTTTCAGAAATTATGTAATACAGTTGGGCTTGCTGGCAGGCTACAAACTGTATTCCTTGCAGAAAGCCAGAGTTGAGCGATTAGGATTCACACCCAGAAGAACCCAAGGTCTCAGTTTAGGGCTGACCCTCTGGACCACAGCTGGAGAAAGGACTTGAGTCACTTCCTTTGTTTCTTCCCACTTTCACGGATTCCATACACCTTGGGAAAACACAGCTGAAAGTTGGGTATCACCATGAGAAGTTGAGATGTCCATGTGTATCGATGGAATGGACATTTCCCAGGTTCAAAATAGATCTCAGGAGGACCTTCTGATCCATATGAGTTGTCAGTTTGCACAGAGGTCTCCAAACTTGGCAACTTTAAGACTTGTGGACTTCAACTACCAGAATTCCTCAGCCAACCATGCTGGCTGGGGAATTCTGGGAGTTGAAGTCCACAAGTCTCAAAGTTGTCAAGTTTGGAGATCCTTGAGTTAACAGGAAGGCTGCTGCCTAAAGTGCTGAGTCTTCTTCACTGGAGACCCTCATACAAGGCTGGAAGGTCACCTGTCAGAGATAGAATAGCAGAATTGGAAGGGACCTTGGAGGTCTTCAAGGCCAACCCCCTGCTTGAGCAGGTGTTTACCATTTCACATAAACGGTTGTTCAATCTCTTCTTAAAAACCTCAAGTGATGGGACACCCACAACTTCTGAAGGGAAGCTGTTGGGTTGATTGTTCTCCGTGTTAGGAAATTTCTCCTTAGTTTTAGGTTGCTTCTCTCCTTGGCTAGCTTCCATCCCTTGTTTCTTGCCTTGCCTTTTGGTGTTATGGAAAATAGGTTGACCCCCTCTTCTTTGTGGCAACCCCTCAAATACTGGGATCCTGCTATCATGTCACCCCAGTCCTTTTTTTTTTAGACTAGCCCAAATCCTGCCATCATTCTTCGTATGTTTTAGTCTCCAAGCCTTTAATCATCTTAAGTTGCTCTTCTCGACACTTTTTCCAAAGTCTCAAAATATCTTTTTGGGTAATGGGAATGCAGTATTCCAGGGGTGGTTTTAGGTTTTTCTTACTGCAAGGAAAATAACCTAGAAAATCCCGTTGCCTTTTGGGAAAACACCCTTGGGACAACCATGACTTGGATCAGGGGTGGGCTGCTACCTGTTCGCACTGGTTCAGGCGAACTGGTTGTTAATTTTATGGCTGGTTTGGTGAACTGGCAAATTCCACTCCTCCCTGCCCCTCCCATGAGTTCCTACGTGGCCCATTTTGGATTGCAGGTAAATCCAGGGCCCGTGAGGAGGCTCGGGAAGGGCCAAAACACAGGCCCCCTGGAAGTTCTGGAAGGCCAGAAATAAGCCCGTGGCCTGATTTTACTCCCAGGGTGGTGCTGGAGACCCCTGGACTGGGCCACACCCATTATGGCCATCAGCAATCAGGCAGAGAACCAGTTGCTAAATTATTTGAAGCCCACCCCTGACCTTCATGAAAGAGAATCATCCCTAGGAAGTCATCCATCGAGCAGAAGTTGGACCAGAGGACCTCCAAGGGATATTTCTATCCTTTACAACCTGCTTTTGTTTCTTCCTGCTTCCTTCGGGCAAGAAGGAAACCCCTTGGAGAACGGCCTTCGAAGCTACTTACCAGCCGCCGCCAAGGAGATAGACAGGAGAACCATCAAAAGGGAGCGGAGTGTCCAATCACCACCCATTTTGGCTCTAGGGTAGATGTTGCAAAGCCAGAGAGAGAAGGTTGGAGGTCTTTGTTCTCTGCGTGGGGCTATCTTCTTTATATAGTCCTTCTGTTGACGGTTGGAAACTATGACTTAAGACCATCTGATTCTGTGGGTTATGTATCTACTATCATTTCAGTTTCAAATAATCAGCGATCAAAGTCGCTTCTTGGAAAGATGTAGGCCAAGCCCGAAGCTTGGGAAAGGGTACATTAGTCAGAGGGGGAGGGGGCACGGCAGGGCGAGAATGCTAGGAGAAGGAGAAGAAGAAAAAGTAGATGAAGGAAGAGGAGGAGGAGAAGGAGGAGGAGGAGGAGGAGAGAGAGAGATAAAAAGAAGTAGACGGAGGAGAAGAAGGAGGGAATGAGGCATAGGAGAAGGACATAGGAGGAATGAGAGAAGAAGGAGAACATATGAGAAGAAGAAGAAGAAGAAGAAGAAGAAGAAGAAGAAGAAGAAGAAG